GGCTAAATAATAATACACCATGAATTTGGTGCAGATCGGCTGATATTTCACTGAGCCAAAACAGTTTGAATATTGTAGGGGGCGCACTTGAGTCACATATTAAACAAGAAAACTAAAATGTCCATTGGTTCTCAGTAATGACGCACCAAAAATCTGGTTCAGATCGGATGTTGTATCACTGAGATATAATTGTAAGAAGAATCTAGGTTGCGCTGTGGAGGCTCTTGGCCACTTATCATGGAAACCTGTTCAAAGGTGGATAATGATCAATCATAGTGATTTTGGTTCACCTGGGCTCAAATCTGTGCAATTTAGAGCCAAACGTATTGCAACGGCGTCACTTTTTAATTTGCCATGGCGCCACGCCCACATTCTCCAGCTATAACTGTTTTGTTGTTTAAATCAAGTCAGACCATCTTATCTGTCTTCTAACACAGGATCATCCTGATTATGTGAAGGGTGTCAAAGAAGGACCATTCCAATTAAAAAAAGTCACTTCCTGTTGTGAGGGGGCGGGGCTTTGATCACGTCAAAATTTGACCTCAGGGTATTGTCGGGCCTGGGACAGGGATGACTCGTGCCAAATTTGGTACATTTCTGTTTTTCAAGTTGAAAGTTATAACGTTTGGAAATTTATGGCGTGAAGCTCAACTTTGAGGCCTGGCCACGCCCCTTTACCAAAACGAAACCGAAAGCGTTTGATAACTTTTACTCTCCAATGTCTTAAAGGCCTATTAACCAAGTTTGAAGGCAATCCTTCAAAATCCCTAGGAGGAGTTTGTTAAAATTCGCCGTTAAAAACGCCCAAAAATTAACCTTTGACCCAAAATGGCCGACTTCCTGTTGAGTTTGGACCGGAGCTCCAAGAGACTTTTTCATAGGTCCTGAGAAGATACAGATGTTCACCGAGTTTCAGATTTATAGGTCGAAAAATGGCTTGGGGCGGAGGTTTTAAAATATTCTAGGGGGCGCTAGAGAGGCTATTGGGCAATTATCATGGCTTCCTGTTCAAGGGGCAGGCAATGATCAATCATAGTGATTTTCATGAACTTCGGATCAAATCTCTGGAATTTAGAGCCAAACGTATTGTAACGGCGTCACTTCTGAATTTGCCACGCCGCCACGCCCACATCCTCCAGCGAAAGTGCTTTGCGCTTCAAAGCAAGTCAGACCAACTTGTTATCTGTCTTCTAACACAGGATCATCCTGATTGGGTCAAGAGTGTCAGGGAGGGAGCATTCCAAGCAAAAAAAGTCACTTCCTGTTCTGAGGGGGCGGGGCTTTGATGACGTCAAAATTTGACCTCAGGGTATCGTCGGGCATGGGACAGGGATGACTCGTGCCAAATTTGGTACACTTTTGTTTTTCAACGTGAAAGTTGTAGCGTTTGGAAATTTTTGGCGTGAAGCATAATTTTCAGGTCCGGCCCTGCCCCCTCAACATGCGTCGGTTTGCACCGTTTTGATAACTTTTGGTCCCCCATGCCTACTGAGCAAAATGGCAAAAGTTTGAAACCGATTGAGCGAAATCCCTAGGAGGAGTTCGTTCAAATTTGCCGTGTACGAAAAGTGAAAAACGGCCAAAATTGACCCTTTGACCCAAAATGGCCGACTTCCTGTTTGGTTTAAGGCATACCTCCAAGATACTTTTTTTCTTGATTCGGTGGGTTGTACATGTGTACCAAATTTAAGCTCTCTAGGACTTACCAGTTGTCATATCTCACGTTAGGGGGCACTGTGGAGCAGTTTGGCCACGCCCACTTTTGGTTCCATTAAATACCTCAAATTTCTCGCGGGGGACAATTTATCTCACAATGAGCCTAGGCGTGATCCTTTGAGAATCGGCTCCCTCAGTAACCAGAATAAAGATGTAGAAGTTCCAGTTATTCCTGCTTCCATTAACTTCCATGTTTTTAAGACATTAATGTAGAAGGATGACAGACCATTTGTACTGATTCCCGAACAATCATTGATAAACAATGTCTTTCCCAAACCCATGTTACCAACTTGCTGACAAAGATATTCTGCCACCTGCTCCACAATAAATTTTGGTCCCCATACAGAAAACTCTGCAAAAATTCCCTGCAAAACTCACCAAAAAATATGGTGAGTTTTGGGATATGTTAAGGCCTCCAAATTAGCGCTCTTTGGCGGAAAAAAATTAGAAACGACACAATTACAATAGGCCTTCGCAGCACGCAGCGCTTAGCTGCTCGGGCCTAAAAATAAACTGGGGAAAAAGTAAGGCTTTGTTAATAGGCAAATGGCAAGGAGACGAGCCCAGACTACTTGATGAATTGAAGCGGGTAAAAAATGGTTTTAAATATCTAGGTGTTCATTTAGGTGATCATGTAGAGGTTATGAAAAACTGGGAAGGTGTAGTTGAAAAAATAGAAGGAAAACTGAAAAAATGGCATTGGCTTTTGCCAAGACTGTCCTACAGGGAGCGTACACTTGTTATTAATAATTTGGTGGCTTCTACATTGTGGCATCGTTTAGCTGTGTTGGAACCGCCAACCAATTTATAAATGAAATTACAAAGTATTATTGTTAATTTATTTTGGGATAGACTTCACTGGATACCTCAAAATGTACTTTTTTTACAAAAAGAAGAAGGCGGTCAGGGCTCGATTCATCTTGAAAGCAGAAAAGCTGCTTTCAGGCTACAATTTTTGCAGAGTTTTCTGTATGGGGACCAAAATTTATTGTGGAGCAGGTGGCAGAATATCTTTGTCAGCAAGTTGGTAACATGGGTTTGGGAAAGACATTGTTTATCAATGATTGTTCGGGAATCAGTACAAATGGTCTGTCATCCTTCTACATTAATGTCTTAAAAACATGGAAGTTAATGGAAGCAGGAATAACTGGAACTTCTACATCTTTATTCTGGTTACTGAGGGAGCCGATTCTCAAAGGATCACGCCTAGGCTCATTGTGAGATAAACTACCCATGATGTCTAGACTTTTACTGAACAAGGGAATAACAACTGTTCAACTTCTCCTTGAACTGATTGGAGCTGACATGGACAACTCTATTGCTCTTACAAGGAGACTGGAAGTTTGTTCTGTTCGTATAATAGATCTGATGCTGGAGAAGTTTGAGCATTATCTGAAGAGGACAAAAGATTGATATCTGGGTGGTTTCATGGACTCTTAACACCTAATGAAAATGACATTTTTCATAAGTTATGCATCAGGCCCAACCTAAAAGACTGTCAAGTGCTGGGTCCTCTGCTGGAGAAAGACAGTAAGGTATGGACTTTACTGGACTCTGCAAATGGAGACACTATATCAAAGGTGTGTTAAGGCCCTAAACAGGGCAAAACTCAAAGACAAAAAAGATCCACCATGGAGAGAACTCTTTAGTGGTCAGTCTGATGTAAAACCTGTGTGGAGTATGTTGTACAAACCACCACTGACCAAGAACACTGGTGACTTACAGTGGCGTATTCTAGATGGCATTATTGCAGTAAATGCTTTTATATCAATCATAAACCTAACTGTTTCAGATGAGTGTCCATTTTGTTCAACAAGGGAGACCATTTTTCACTGTTTTGTACTATGTCCAAGATTGTTGTCCTTATTTGGTACACTTAGTGATATTTTGAAATCTGTTGGGGAATCTTTCACTACCCTCATGTTCATATTTGGTTTTTTGTATGGAAAAAAAGAAGAAAGGGCGTTTATTGAATTTTATTTTTGGACAAGCAGAACTGACAATATATCTAAGCAGGAAAGAAAAGATTAATGGAGGTCAGAATTGTGACTGTTTGCTTTTTTTTAAGAGTATGTTGAAAGCAAGACTTATGATGGAATTTAAGTATTGTAGAAAAATTAATGAACTGGAAATGTTTAAAGATAAGTGGGACTGTAAAGGTTTTTTATTTACTCTTAATGATTCTGACATTTATTTTGCAGATGTATTGAAATAAGTTAATTGTGAAACAATAATGGAATAAATGCTTTTTTAAAATAAAAAAATAAATGAATCTTTTTCTCTCTCTCTCTCTCTCTCTCTCTCTCTTTCTCTCTCTCTCTCTCACTCACTCACTCACTCACTCACTCACTCACTCACTCACCCACTTATCCACCCACTCACACCCATATACTTTGTTTCTCAGAATTGATAAAGATGGGATGTGTTTGGGCGTAATTGTGTTGTAGGTAATCTGTTGTTAATATATAACGGGGTTGTGTCACTGTATAGAAACATCAGTAGACAGGGTGGTTCTGCAATCATCCATCCATCCATCCATCCATTTTCTTTAGCCGCTTATTCCATTTTGGGTCACGGGGGTCGCTGGTGCCCATGTCCAGCAGTCACTGTGCGAGGGGCGCGGTACACCCTGGACAGGTTGCAATTCCATCACTGGGCCACACAGAGACAAACGAGACAAACAACCATTCACTCTCTCACTCACACCTAGGGACAATTTAGAGTTACCAAGCAGCCTAGCATGCATGTTTTTGGACTGTGGGAGGAAACCGGAGTACCCGGAGTAAACCCACGCATGCACGGAGAGAACATGCAAACTCCACCCAGAAAGGCCCCTGGACCGGGGTTTGAACCAGGGACCTGCTCGCTGAGAGGCAGCAGCTCTACCAGTTGCGCCACCGTGCTGCCCGTTCTGCAATCAATGTATGATAAATCTACTTGCAAGTGTTGTGTTAGAGCTAAGAAGACTATCACTATCCCAACTGTGACTTGTTTTATCTGGGTGGGTGTATGCATGTAGAAAGTGTAGGGTTGTTTAAGGTAGAAAAAGTTCAGTTGTGATAGGCAGGCTTCACCACCGATACAAAGGTAAATTGCACGCCACACACACCCACACACACACAAGAATGAATTTCCTTTTAGTATACCATTTTATTGCTCAAATGTATTTTCTTTTTCTATGTATTTCTCCGTGGTTATGGATCTACTTTAGTATTTAAAGCTCTTTCTACTGTTTGAATTGCAATGGAACAAAATTCAAGTCGAGAACAGAAAATGCTGCTTACTGTTGTGCAGCAAGACGTCTTCAGCATCGTCGGGCGTGCCTCCTGACTGAGAGCGACCCAGGCCAATCGAGTAAACTTTGTTCTTGTGGCTTCCTGATCGAGACCTGGTCCCCCTCTTCTGACCTTCACCTTCAAACAAAATTAAATCCAGAGCAATTAGAAGCCGGGTCAGACCTGAGGTCTGAAATCAGGAAGGGTTTCTAGAGGATACTTTGGATCAAAAACATCAAATATCTTATTTAAAAGCAATTTTTTTACAGCTCAAGCAAAATATTATTTATGTTTGTTCAATTAATCATGATGCATGCTCAATAATCCAGGCAGAAAAATCTAAAAAAGTTAAATCTGGTCCTCTGGACATAAAAAAACAAAACAAACAAACAACAAAACAAAGCAAAACAACAAAAAAATGTAGAAACGTTTCATCTTTCATCCGAAAGACTTCCTCAGTCTGAGGTATTGTTTTCAGCTCAGTCTCTTAAATAGCACCTTCTCAGAGTGGATCAACCAGTTTGCTGCTGACAACCAAAACCAGCTGCTCACATGATCAAGAAGGGCCATCAGCCTAACAATGGATCATTAGCACCCTGATGGCCGTTTACTATTCACAGGAGGCTGAGTGATACTAGCAATAACAACATTGTAAAAGGGGGGCAGTTGAACCCGGAGGCCTCCAACCCTGTTTAATGATGGACAATTTCTTTTCACAAAGATGGCCTCCTTTAATCTCTCATACCATCGTTCCTCTCTGTCCAGGATGTGAAAATCTTCATCCCTGAAAGAGTGACCGCTGGCCTGGAGATGAGTGTACCGCAGAGTCCTGGCCTGATGATGTTGATCTTCTGTGCTGGGCCATCCTTTTGGCCAGTGGCTGTTTAGTTTCCCCGATGTAAGACTGATCACAGCCCTCCTGACTGACAAAATGTTGGACTTCCTGAGATTTAATTTTAACCCAGGTGTCGTAAACATACCTGAATCAATGACTTGGTGGTGTCCCTGAAAAGGACGTCAATGCTCTCTTTTCTACCTCCTCCATGTACAGGTTGGCAACAACAGTAGAAACTAGAGACCCAATAGCACACCCATGTTTTTGCCTATAATATTGCTCCACATATGTGAAGTAGGTTGACTGCAGGCACAGTTTCAAGAGTTGACACAGTTGTTCTGTGGAAAGTGTGGTCCACAGAACAACTGTGTCAACTCTTGAAACTGTGCCTGCAGTCATACACACACACACACACACACACACACACACACACCATCACACACACACACACACACACACACACATATGCAGTATATATTGTAGTGAACTAGGCCTCCGACCTCAACCTGTCCCTGAAGACCTTCATGGTCAAGTAATTTGAATCCAGAAATACAAATTAGCTCATCAAGAAACTGTTTAATTGTATCTTGAATTAATCAATTGAAAGAACACTCTTCTTTTTTTCATTATCATTACTATTTTAGAATATCTTGATAATCAAAGTGTGCTTAGTTCATACCATTTCTAAATGTTGAAGTGAACCACTCATTTTAAATCAACTGTGAAACAGTATTAATGATTTTTAAACCTCATTAGACTTAGAAATCATTTTAAATGTCTATTTACAAAGTAATTATGCATTTTGATCTTCTGTCTGAATGAGAAGTAGTGATGTCAGTCGAAAGTCAGAGACAGTCAAAAAACGAGTTATTAGAACTAAGTGTCTTGTTTTTAAACCTAGCAGACGGTAAATAACTTCAACTGGCATCTGCGTTTGTCTCACTTGGCCATAACATTTCTCTGTCTGTACTAATCGTTCCTAAACATTCCTGCAGCCTCTCTTGACTTTTAATAACCCTCTGACATCACTGAAACACCGCCCTGTTTGTTGTTTCAACCAATCAGGAAGTACCAAGTGACCAGAAGTGTGGACTCTTTAAAAGTCAACACTTCCTGGAACTAGTCAGTCTTTGACCGGGGTCTTCCCAGAGTCTTTCATGGGGTCTTCTTGGAGTCTTCCACTTATGAGTGGAATCTCTGACTGAGTCACAGTGCCTCGCTGTGAACTCACCCGGGCGTAACGCCCTACAACTTCTAAGGAAGCTTATTCTGTTATACGGAGTAAATCGTCACGACTTCTCACAATGACCAGCTGCTTTAACCGGAGACGCTGGAAAGGTAGCGTTGAAATGGACACTGCACCGGAGCTGATTCATCTTCTGTAAAGGTAACGAGTCGTCACGCACCTAGTGTACCGGGGGTTAAAGCTGGTGTTGGAAGAAGCGTGCTAATTCTGGTCAACAACATACATCTTCCTCCATCCATCTACTTTTAAACTTCTCCATTCCTTCCTTTAAACTTTTTATTTTGCCAGTAATCTAGATGCCTTCAGAAATGTTCTGTTGTCTTGTTAGTAAAGCGTGCCAAGTTTTTATTAATCAGAACCAGATCAGCAAATCAATGTGTACATGATTTACTAACAAGACAACAGAACATTACTGATTGAGGCCGATTCACCTCTGAAGGCATCTAGTTTACTGGCGAATAGAAAAGTTAAAGAGGAGACATAGATTTAAAGATTTAAAATGAGGTTTAGATGGAAGCTATATGTGAGACCAGAACTTTTCACCCTTCCTCCGACACCCCGCTCAGCTTTCCGGTACACTTCAGGACGTGCAGCGACTTTGTTACCTTAGATGGGGATACCTCCACTCCGGAACAGAAGTCCATTAGTACGATCCCTTTATAGCGTCTCCGGTTAAAGTAGCTGGGAATCTTTAGAATAAATGCATATACTCATGAGGTACTCGGTTCCACCGAATAAGCTTCCTTAGTAGTGGAGCATTTACTTCTCGGGTTGAGTGCACAGCTATGCGAGCGGTGACTTCGCTAAATGGAGGGACCCCTTGGCAGATGGTCCCATCCATCCGCTGCTTAAGTGAGTCTCATCTCTGACCAAAAAGTTCCGGCAAGACTGGAAAAGACTAAGACTCGTGAAGACTAAGACTGAAGACTTAGCCCTAAGACTTAAGACCGAACTCAGTTCAAGGACCGAACTGAATAGTTCCACGAAGTGTTCCTTTTAAAGGGGTATACACTTCCTGTTATGTGGTACTTCCTGATTGGTTGAAACAACCAGCAGGGTAGTGGTTCTAGTGATGTGAAGAGGGTCACTAGGAGTCAAGAGACAGCAGGAATGTTTACGAACGGTTAGTACAGACAGAGAAATATTATGACGAAGTGAGACAAACGCAGGTGCCAGTTGAAGTCATTTACTGTCTGCTAGTTTTAAAAACAAGACACTTCGTTCTAATAACTCGTCTCTGTTTGTCTCTGACTTTCGACCGACATCACTACTCCTCATTCAGACAGAAGACTAAAATGCACACTTACTTCGTAAATAGACATTTAACTGTATTATCAAAGTCTAATGAGGTTTAAAAATCATTAATACTGTTTCACAGTTGATTTGAATGAGTGGTTCACATCAACATTTAGAAATGGTATGAACTAAACACACATTTGATTATCAAGATATTCTAAAATAGTAATGATAATGTAAAAAAAAAGAGTGTTATTTCAACTGATTAATTCAGGATACAATTAAATAGTCTCTTGATGAGATAATTTGTATTTCTTTATTCAAATCAATGCAATAACAGTTCCTGTCCCCTGAAGGTCTTCAGAGACAGATTGTTGTCGGAGGCCTAGTTCACTACACTATATATACACACATACACATATATATACATACATACACATATATAAATATATACATATACAAACAAATATATATATATATATATGTATATATATATATACATATACATACATGCACACATATACATATACATACAATACACACACATATATATATATAAATATATACATACATATATTCATACATTCATATATACACATATATATACACACACACACACACATACATATATATATATATATATGTATATATATGTATATACACACACACATGCATACATACATATATATAAACACATACATACATAAATATATATACATACATACATATATATATACGTACACACATACACACACACACACACATATATATATATATATACACACATACATACATACATACATACATATGCATATATATATCAGAATCAGAATAAACTTTATTGGCATTGCACCTAGATAAAACGCGAATATGTACGTACAGTCGTCCGAAGATGGGCGGAGTGCACGAAGCTGCGGCTAAAATAATCAGCGCGACCTTCTTAGTCTTATTCAGAATAATATTTTGCTTAGATAAGAAAAGGAAAGAACACATGAGGAGAGATGGTATAAAAAAAAGATCTCTCACACCGTGTCCTACACAGGGCACAATTTGAGGCATCAAAAAAACCTACCACAGCAAAGCAACATAAACAGACGTTATACATTTACATATAGGTGGTGAAAACATTGAATTTTTTAAGGGAAAGTCATAGCATAGTCCAGAGCCCCCCCCTCAGCCATTGTCCAGATAAGAGGTGACGTTCATCTTCAGCTCAGTTGAGGTTCTGTTACATGTCCACGGCCTTGGGGAAGGGAGGGGTGAGGAAACAGTCAAAGCATCTTTGTTGTTTTCCAAACATTCCAGGAGGAGTTGAGATAAGTCCGGCATCAAGGCCACAATTTGGGTCAGGCAGAATTCGTGAATTGTTGTTTCTGCCTTTAAAGTCTCGCTGGTACATATTCTCCGATGGAAACTCCAAAAAAGCCGAATTGATCCTTTACTCCAAAGTTGAGCTCACAGCTTTCTCCAGATTATTCCCACCATTCATGAGTGCTGCCAGGGAGATCACAGTCCTGATAACAGCTGCTCCAATTCCCTGTCACAGCTCCACATTCAGTCTGAGCACTGTCAAGCTTCAACACCTCCACACGAACTTGTAGACAACCAGATTCCAACAAACCCAAACAGTAGATTCTAGTCGTCATCATGAATCCAATTTTTCCTCTAGAGTTCAGAGTGTCCCCCTTACCCTGACTCCTGTCGGGAGAAGTTGATCGATTTTGTTGAGAGACCAGCTGATCCTTCCAATTAAGAGGTATGCAGGAAAAAAAGAGGCTTTTTAAGGGTTCACAGGACAAAATAGCACAGCAGGGAAGCGGG